GTGATCATAAGTGGGCGGTGCCACGCCCATTTTCCAAAATTTTATCATAAACGTATTTCTTGGTAAAGAATTGTTGCAAACATCAATTTTGAATAAATTAGCTTCAATATTTACGGATTTATCGAAGATTTCGTATTTCTCCAAATTACCGTTATATGGGATGTGGGCGTGGTTATTGTCCGATTTTTAAAATTTTCGGCCATTTGGTATCCTGTACCAAGGCCAATAACTGTGCCAAGTTTGGAAGAAATCGGTGCAGCGGTTGCCAAGATATACACATGTAACTATAAGTGGGCGTGGCTACGCCCATTTTTCAAAAATTTTTAATACTCTTATTTCTCGTCTAAAAGTTATTCTAAATGTCAATTTTGAGTGAATTATCTTCAGTAGTTACTAAAATATCGCAGTTTTCGTATTTCTGAAAATTACCGTTATATGGGAGGTAGGCGTGGTTATTGTCCGATTTCGCCCATTTTCAATACCATCCGTCCTACGCCCAAAAGAAGTGCATGTACGAAGTTTCGTTAAGATATCTAAATTTTTACTTGAGTTATCGTGTGCACAGACGGACGGACAGACAGTCACCGCTTAATCGATTTCTCTTTTCATTCTGATCATTTATGTATACATTTGTCTATATCTATCTCGATTCGTTTTGCCTGTTACAAACAACCGTTATGCGAACAATGTTATAATACCCTTGTGCACAAGTGCGCTCGGGTATAAAAATGGATTCTATATTTTCAGTTAGACTGCTAGCAATATGTACATCGGTGAAAATAGTTGGCAACCCGCTTCAAAAATATTTTCGAAAGTAAGCTTCCTAAACCTCTTTAGTGGCAGATCCCCTAAAAATATTTTCGGTATTAAAATTTCCTAACCTCTTTAATCTGATGCCAATATTTACTATTTAATTTATGTTATCAATTCATTTAAATAAAAGTTTTCAAACAGGTGGTGTATCAATTTACTTAAACTGAAATTTTCAAACAGGTGGCAACCCTCCAATTTTTTTTTCTTCTATATTGTAAGTTAGACCTCTAGCGATACATAGGTGAAAACTTGATTCGATTCCATGCATTAGTTTTCGAGTTATGCGCGTACAAATATGCAGACAGACAGACAGACACACAAACAGATAGACCAAAATTCTAAAATTTGCTACAATGTACCTCAACAATGTTTTTCACGTTTTCTTTTTTTGCGCCAGAGTGCAATAAAGTGTACCCAGCGGCCGTTTTTGAGATAAAAATGTATTGCAGATTCAGATTCCCGTACCCAAAAACCCCCAGTAATCGCCAACCTGTGAAAACTGAGAAATAACTTTTCTATACACAATCCAGACTTTCAGAAAAATTGGTTTTATCAATTCCTCCGGCTGCTGTCGAACAGTTTTTTGATCATATTCTTTCATTTACTTAATAAAAAAAATACAAGTATGAATTAAGTTAAGTGCATATGCAGAAATTACCGCCACCCCTTCTCTTCTATGTTGTGTACAAATTGCATAGCTGTATCGATTACCGTTATCTCACTAGAACGAAATAAGCAATCATTTTTACTATGGGAGTGTATGTAAATTCAAAACTTTAAGGCCGCTTTTCTCGAATTATGCTTTTTTGAGTTATGACACCATTGAAGTAAGATAGCGATATGTTGAAAGACTTATTTACATATATGGAAGAAAATGAGCGACATCTTCAAAAAAGGGCCAACAATTAACGGTAAGTCCTAGCTACTTCAAACATGCACTTTATCATACTAAAATTGAAGGCGCTACAAGGATATTTTTTTTTTCAGTTATTAGCGGGAAAAAGTCATTGAAAATTTTGACTGAAAAATGAAGAGCGCTGAAATTACGACACACCTTTTTTTGTGACCTTTTATTTGGCACAGTCTAATGTGCATATTATTAGGAGTTTAATTTTTAATTCAAATTGTAAAACGAAAATCAATAAATAGTCAGGTTCCTTAATTACAAAGAAATACACATTTACATACGTACATACATACATACATACGTATTTAGTAGATAGTTAATTCCTGCAAAAGATCAATCGAATGACTTCGACAGTCCGCCAACTGATAATGAAATAAGACATGCCTCAAGTATTAAATAAATATAAAGAGTGTCTTCATATGTTTGATAAGATTTTCACGTTCCCACCACACTAGAATTAGTACAATGGCTGTTCACTATAACAAATGTACGATTACTTTTCACACATACAAAACTCGGTATTTGTGCTGTAACACTGTGGAATAAAAATGAACTTTTAAAAAGCCTAGAGTGCGCATACATATGTCAGGTTTGATAGCTGTGACCATTCGAAAAAAGTGTAATATTTGGATGCAAATTTTCAGAATTTTCTTTAATATTGCATAAGGTTTGAAACTCTGATTTTTGGGGTTTTTGTTGTAAAATTAACCATGTTTTTATAAAAAATTAACGAAAAATAAAATATCTAAAAATTGTTGTCGCTATTGTAAAAAAATTCGCGGTACCTAAACTCTATTGACTGACTGTATGCACCCTCTAGGTTTTTTTTTTGTATTCCACAGTGTAATAGAGCTCAATCATAAGCGGTATTCGCACCCGCCTGGCTTACTTTTACTCAGTTTACAACAACAGAAATACTCTTGGGAATAACAATTTTTAAATAGATAACCTGATAACCAGGCAAGTGTGAATACCACAACAGTTAATTCATATGTATGTATATGTTCATTAGGGTGCATCACTCTCAATACAAAAATACATCTGTACTGGTTTTCCATCGGAATTATAAAGTTTATTTTATTCTAATGGTGATCTCGTTTCTGCCAAAAAATTTCGACTTTTGGTTGCTCCTTTCTCTTTTCGTGTTCGATTCTTAATTAAAGGCAAACGGTGGGATAATTTTGTGTTCGTTTCTTAAAATGTCACACTCTTCTGTCACACATTATCTGCCCTTTTGAAGCTTTGTCAGAGAAGATGGTTGCCTTGAAACTCAGATGGTTGTTTAAAACGAAAATATTCAGCCTTAATACGAGTTTCATTTTCCCCGAACCGGTTCACTTTTCAATTTTAGTTTCCATGTATTTACTATGTGTGGAATATAAATATTCGCGTGAATTGTTTTCGGGCGAAACTCAGGACAAGGCAGATTATGAAATGCATGAAATTTCGATTATTTTATTTTTTTTCCAAAAGGTGGTACCTCAAGGGTGCTCTCGCACTAATTTGGTTTAGTTTCGATCATTGGATCATGAAGAAATTAACGGTACTACTAAATATTTATAAGAAAATTGTTGTGGGTTGTGTTTTTTGCTGAAAAAATACTATGCATAATTACCAAAAAGTCCTCCTCAAATTGCAGATAGGTAAACAACAACACTATGAGCTGGGTAAATGGCTGCGACGACGCTATGATTCACTGTTGAATCTCACCTATTCCGAAGATGAGGTTTACATACGTTCCACAGATGTGGACCGCACACTGGCGAGTGCAATGTCTAATTTAGCAGGATTGTATCCACCAGTGGGCAATGAAGTTTGGAATAAGGATATAGCCTGGCAACCGATACCGGTACACACGATTCCAGAGCGAATTGATAAGGTAATGTTTATTAGTTGCTTCTAATGCGTTTTTTTTTTTTCAATTACACACAAATTTTGCTCCTTCCTCTAGGAATTGGCTGGCAAAGCTCCTTGTGCTGCCTACGATTATGCGCGCTCCGTCGTTTTAAATTCCAGCGAATTTCAAAAGCTTAATCAGCGCTTCCAATATTTATATGACTACTTAACTAAGTATTCGGGACGCAAGGTGGACACACTGGAGGCTGTACAACGTATGAATAACACGTTCTTCATTGAAGCACTGTATAATCGAACGCTGCCCGATTGGGCCAAGAAGGTGTATCCCAGCGCAGATATGACGTATATAGCTGATTTTGCATTTTCTATAGGCACGTATACGCGGCGTATGGCGCGCCTCAAGATCGGTCCATTGATAAAAGAGATGCTACACCGTTTTGCCGATAAGGCGCGTGGGTCACTGAAACCCAATCGCTCTGTGTGGATTTACAGCGCACACGACACAACTGTGGCGAACGTTTTAAACGCGCTCAAGTTGTATAATGTAAGAAAGTTTTTAATTTAATTAATTTAATTTTAAATGTTTGGAATATTTTTTTTAGTTGAAAAGCCCTGGCTACACAGCGTGCGTACTATTCGAGCTGCGTCTAGATGAGAACAATCATCCATTTGTTTCGATTTTCTACAAGAACACTTCAGCCGAACCGGCATTGCTGAGCATACCTGACTGTGGCGTTGCGTGTCCGCTGGCGAAAACATTCGAAATCTATAAAGACATATTGCCTGTGAATTGGGAGCAGGAATGCAAATTGAGTACAATGATGATGACGTACGATGAGGCTAATATTGGCATGGCAATGGGTAAGCATGAGTGCTAAATGAAAAATGCAACGCAATCCAATATATAAGCAATTATGTGTTTTTATTTCATATTTCCAGTTATTCTTGGTTCGATTATCTGCGCCATGTTAGTGCTTTCCTACATTTTTTTGATTTACTATCGCCGTCGTCGATACAGCACGTATGCCTATGCACAAATGGCCTAATTGTTGACAATTGATATGACCGGACAACAACTCTTCGACAACCTGACCCCAACCAGCTGCAAAACAATCGGCACAAATTTGATGTTCCTCTCTCTGTATGTTAATGAATAACCTTAATGTTTTGCATTTCATTTTAATATCAGATAAATTTGATATTTAACAATTGAATTGCATTTTCGGATGTGTGTGTGCTTGTAAATGCATTGATTGTGATTCACATTTTTAGTCGACAACTTTGCTGTAATATCCAATTAAGACGTTTTATATTACCATATACATAATTATCTGTGTATGTATACATAGCAAAATACATACATTTTTATACGTTAAACTAAATTCGTATTCTACTATATAATTTAAGAATGTTAGTTGGCCTAACAAAGAACCATATATTTTCTAAATATTGAACTCGTTTAGTTTAATTTGTGTATCTATAGGTTCGTGAAACTGTAACAAATTTAATTTTATATTTATGTTTTACTTTACATTCTGAGAAAAAACCATTTTAAGTTTATTAATAATAGACGTGTCGTTATTACTCACAAAACTAATTTTTTGTGTTCACAAATATGCCTACTGGAATGGTGCTTATTGCCACATACATTTACACAAACATTTATAGAATTTAACTGTAATTCGTTTTTTGTTCATTTATCCATTTGTACGCATCTGTTATTCGTCCTTTGTCCTTTTCTTATAATAATATTCATATGTACATATAAAAAATGGGCGCAAATGTGTAGCCATAAAGATGCAAGTAATTTGTGTTAAAATTGAAAAAAAAAAAAATTGAAGAAAAGACTGTTGTTCATAAAAATAATGCTTAAAGATACTTTTTTACTACATAAATTCCAATAAAACAATATATACAATAAGTATGTACTATATAAAAAATAAGTAAAAGTATGTAAAGAATATTGATTTCATTTAAATTGTATAAGGAAACAAATATATAAGGCAACAACTTAAAAAAAGGAACGTTTCATTCTTCATCACAATTACGTATTTATACCAAGAAAATAATAATAATTCTGAAATATTAATCGGTCTTCGGCCGTCCGGCTCAATGCCTTTTGCTTTTTCTTCGGTCTTTGAACAGTAGCACCTAAGTAGATCGATTTTAAAGGCTTAGTTGTATTAATGCCGCTGTTTTCACCACGTCTTGATCAAGTAGAGACTTATTTGCTTCGCTCGGCCTAGAAAAGTCAATTGCATTGCCAATTCTATAAAAGTCCTGATCGTTAACAGGTTTCTTGGTGCATTAATCCAAACTCAAAGATATGGTGAAAGGTCCAGGGTTTCGTAATTATTGTCGAGAGGCTTTATTTAGTTTTATTCCAGAGTCTTAACAAGTTCTACTTTCTTCGTGGAATGTATTGCAGCACAGAGAAAAAATATTATTCTGAAGGTATTTATATTAGTTCAAAAATATACATAAATTTTTGTAACACAATTTTGTCAATTGTTTGGTCGAGCTTCCGCTTCAATTCGAGGTGTGCGTCTTGATGTTATTACCAGGGTCCGTAACGGTTGTGGTCTTTATAATAAAAATATGAATTTAACTGTTATAATGGGATTTATATTTTCCCGACGAAACTTAACCGCTGTTCTATAATTTTTATTTTTTATCGCAATTTTTGATTCTTATTTTTTCAATCATATCCTAACCGTTATTTTCAGATTAAATTTTTTAGATCATAAAGAACGCATTCTCCATTATAACGATTAAAAACTATCAAGAAAATAAAATTCCAAATTAAAAAATTTATTTTTTGTCGAACAAATAAAATTCGTGTTATTTTCGAAAAGCGAATGGCTTTAATGAGACATTTTTCATGACTCAGGTTCAATCAGAGGTTTGCTAAGGGGCATATTATCACATCAGATTTGTAGTCACTTCTTCCCAGGGAACTAGACCTTGAAGCCTCAACTGTTCGCAAAAATGTTGCATTGTCCAAAGTCTTTTAATAAAAAAAAAAAATCGCTTGCTTGCTGGAAGAATTTCATAACTCAAAAACTCAACTTATGAAGGAGGAATCTCGGAAATGATTATATGCCTGGACTCTGTTCCGCAAGCCGTTTACCAACCCCTTTGCTCGTGTCCTATGCTTCGGGGAACATTAAAGATCGACGATGTTCCGGCCGGAAATAAAGAAAGGAAAGAAAATTATCGGGGCGCTAGACCAACGGAAAGCTCGCTCTAAACAGCTACTATCCAGTTATTCTGGACCGCCTAATGAACTATCGAACTATTTAATAAACAGAATTTCCATACAATTCCTAATTTACCATTGTATCGGAGCGGCTTGTCAGAGCTTGTCTAGCCAGCAGCCAGAAGTTAAAAGTTCTATCACCTTTTGTTCCTTTACAAGGCCCCATAATCAGCATTTGAACTCTTGAGTTAAGCGAATGTACCAAAAACATGATTTTCAATACCTTGTTTTGTATTAAAAAAGGTTTAACATGCAAATATACTTTGACAATTTAGAATTTTCGTAAAACGAAATTAAAAAGATTTGACATTTTAGAGACCAAATAATTTGAAAAAAAAAATCATCTGCTCTACCGCTACTACATGTTCAATATGCCTTGATTTGTACAGATTTGTAAATTTTGACAATTAAAGGGTGGGGTTGTTTGGAAATTTCTTATTGAGCTGAACTCATTCTCGATAGAGATTTCTAGACAACACCATTCTGTGACTGCCAAAATGTACAAAGCTGTACAAATGTACATATCATGTGGTCCCTGCTTCAGTGCTCTAGTCGCACTAGCTCCCTCAAAATTCAAATTGAAAGTTCGAAACAATTCCGACTTGGAAATATAAAGGTTAATATGAAAGACCTAACGAATTACGTTAATGGCCAAATATTAGTTGTGATCTCATATGAGCCCGAACTTACCATTTTTTAGCAGATTTTACTAGAAATTGATCCGTAATCGGTTATCTGGCAACTGAGAGGACAAATGACAGAGTAAAAGGGTCCTCTCTTTGTCAGAAGTTACCAGTTTTAATCCGAAGATTTTTTACTGGCAAATTCTGGTAAATGTGTCAAACGATCAGCTGTAGTGTGTTTGACAACCAAATTGTAAACAAAAGAAAAGTGCACTTTGCTAATGTATGTTATAAAATATTAAATTACTGGTTTGAGTGAATTCTAATGAATTTGTAAGTATTTTTGGTTACTTACATGTGTGAGGTTACAAGCAAAATTTAGAGGTTAAGTTGAGGTTGTCAGTAGAAAGCGATCCCGTACTTTTCAGTGTTACTCTCTCGCTCTAGCGAATTTTCATTTTTTGACAGCTTTGCTAGATTTAGTACGGGATCTAACCTATTGATAAGGAATTTAAGGTGTTCTGCAATATACAAAGCTCTTCGGACTGCAGGAGACCCACATACCAAACCTTGTCGGGAAAGATTTGGGCCGAACGTAAAAACACCTATACCAATGATCGGCTTCTTCCATTACTTTCCAAGCAGAGATTCCGGTAACTAATGGGCAGAGAATATCTTAGAAATACATCTGCACTTTGATAATAACATGAACTGATAGCTCCAGTCCCCTAAACACCCTTGTATCCAAGAACACATTATTATCGAGCAGAGGGCCAGGTATGGTTGACATGACGACAATGAATAGGCGGACCACCTAGCAAAAGCGCTACCTCTGTATTCCATTCTCCCAAACCCCTTTTTGGGATTAAAGAAAACCCCTGAGATATTTTTACCAAGACAACCAAAAGAAATTTGAACTTTCTGAGTACGCCAACTGAGGGTGCTCAGCTTCTTGCTAGATGCAAGTGCATATAGAACTTCAGCTAGCAAGCTCCAGTTTTTCGCTTCAAACCTGGCCCGCTTAAGATAAAAATTTACGGCCAACTATGTCTTTAAATTTTTAAAATTTTTATTTCATACATTTATATTATGTTATGTTTATATTGCATATTTTTAGAGTTACATACATATTTATGTACTATACAACAAATTCTTAAGACAAAATATATTTTATTTAAGTTACTTAAGCAGAAATTAACGAAGACATAATCGTGTACACTATGAATTTCCCCATTTTTCTACGAAAAAAATTAATAAAAATATTGTCCTTAGCTAAGTATTGCGGTCTTATACTATTTACAATTGAGTTTTTTTTTCTTAGAGCTGGTAAACTGAAGTATTGTATTGGAAATATCGGTTTTATCTACTAAATATGTGTATACTCTCATTTTTTAATTAGTTAGCTCTCACTCAAAAAAAAAAAAATTATTAAATATTGTTTTTGACTGTGAATAAAAGTAAAAAATACATAAGTGCCACATAGCTGCATTCTTACAGTGGAAAACTTAATCACCTTCGTAGGCCTATAATTCTAACTGGCAACTTTACCATCCGCCAATTATGTATTCTTTTACATTCGAAAAACAAAATTTTAATTAAACATAAAATACATTATAAAATACATAAAAAAAGGAAAAACACGTTGCGTAAATGTTACACAACTGACTGAAATTGTATGTATGTATCTTTATTTCTAAGTTGGTATTGCCGACGGCCGTGGCAGCTGTCGCACGCAAGTCCTTCAGCCGCCTAGCATTCATTGAACACCAAATTGTTTGCTTGCACCATCTGAGTAAATTCTTGCTTTTATCTATAAACCTTGTCATCCGAATAGATAATGTATGGCTGTTGGCCATTGGACTGTGGCGAGGCCTGCTGCGGTGTGCCACCAAAGTACGACATACGCGACATTGTCGAATATGAGTTTTGGGCATTTTGCGGTGCTGCGCGCTGCGACAAATTCTGGGTGGATTGATGTATGGATGGCGCTTTATGGGGCAAGGTGGCATAACTTTGTGCGGCGTACGGTGGTACAGGTAGAGCGCGGTGGGTGCACCCTTGAAGCTCATTGGTACGCTGCCCGGGCCCATTGGCATTGGCGGTATACCGATCATTGCAGGTCCATTGTGGTATTCCACGTTGCTCATGCGCAGTCGCACAATGCAAATTATGATAATTAGTATGGCAATGAAGGCAACTACGCCGCCAACAATGCCGATAATAAGCGTATCATCGTTGCTCATTAATGGCGCTTTAATGAGTGGTGCCTTGGTTTTGATTTTCATCGGCGGAGCTTGTGTGGGCTCCAAGCTCCAGATGATCATTGGTTCTTCTGTGGTGGTTGTTGTTGGACGTGTTACGAGGCGGGAAGAGGATTTCAGCATATATTGTGAAGTGCTACGCGCCGTTGTCGAGGTCATGCGACGTGCATCGCAAGTCAGTTCGTCGTCTCCGACTTCGATGAGTTTCTTGCCCGCCACAAAAGCTGGCGACTGGCACTCGACGTCGCTCATATGCGAATTGGGCAACCAACGACGTAGCGCGCGCGCATTGCAATCGCAGTGTATAGGATTTGAGGCAAGTCCTTTAAGTTGCAAACTTGACCGGCGGTCTTCTAGCGCGGTAAGGAATTGCGGCACTAAGACAGTGACTTTGGAGCCGGTGATATCAAGAGTCAGGTGTGAGGAGCGTGGCACTGGGAAGAGCAAAGCAGGCGGTAGCGCTGTAAGTGAGGTGTTTTGTAGTTTGATTGTGAGGTCACTGCTTTTTAAGCCAGCCAGCGTGCCCGACGATATGGTCTTGAGGCGGTCACCGCGTATGCCTATAGACTTGAGTCTCGGATGTTTAGCGGGCTGAATTTGCTCTGTGCCAATGGTAGAGTCCTTCACCTCCAAGTCTATGTCCTCTAGACCAGGTAGCAGCTCGAGTATGCCTTGCACGTCCAGATAGCCTAGCAGTGGTAGATCATAGGCCTCCAGCTTTTCAAGGTTCGGTACGTGTTTGAAAGCGCTTTTTTCGATGCGATTAATTTGGTGTAAGTTCTTGAGCCGCAATTCACGCAGCATTTCTAAATTCTCGAAGTTGTCTTGAGAGATGACTTCGAAACTGTTATTTGAAAGATCCAGGGTATGCAGTGACTGCAGCTTCGGCCAAGCACCAGCAAGCTCGTTCAGACTTTCCAACTGGTTGCTCGACAGATCCAATATTTCAAGCAGCGTTGTGCGTTGGAAGATGTCAGCATCGATGGTTTTGAGGCTGTTGTGGGATAGGTTGAGGTACTGCAGGAATGGCGTCTCCAGTGGTTCGAGGTGGGAGATGCCGGTACCAGCCAAGTTAAGTGCGCGCACGGTCTTTGGCTCATTGAGTATGTTACGCACAGCGCCTTCGCTAAGAGGATTGTACGACAAGTCAAGGTCCTTGATATTGACCATTATGCTGTCGTCCGCGGGAATAGCGCGAATTTTGTTTCCGCTCAAATTAACGGATGAGACGAAGAAGTATTGGCGTTGCAATGCATTCAGCGGTGCATATTCGAACTTGTTTTTCGCCAAGTTTATGTTCTCTAGCATTTGCAACTTCGAACGCTCAAATATCAAATCGGACAATTCCGTTAGTTGATTGCCTTCGAGATTAAGCAACTCCAGACGCACCAATCCCTCAAAAGTACGCTCGCCGATGCGGTCTAAGTAATTGTGCGACAAGTCGACAATCTGCAGCTGTGTGGAATTGTGGAAGGCCATCTCGCTGAGCATGTCTAGCTGATTGTACGCAACGAGCAGCGAACGTAGGCGTGGTAAACGTGCAAAGTCCAACTCTTCTATCGACTTGAGATGATTGTGAGAGAGGTCGACATGTTCAAGATATTGCAGAGTTGAGATGAGTTCGGCTGGGAAGAAACTAAACTTATTATTTGCTGCCTTAATTTCAAACGCGGATGGATGCGGAACGAAGAGGGAAACAGGTAGCTGAGTGATTGTTCGAGATGTCGAGTTCCTCTAAACCCGTGCCGGTATTGAAGAACTCTCCCTTGAATGCAGATAACTGATTGCCGCGCAAATTGAGGCGCTTTATGTGCATTACATTGACAAAAGCCCCCGGGCGTATGGAGGTGATTTGGTTATTGGACAAATCAAGTGAGGTGATATTCCACAGGTCAACAAAGCTGCCGTCGTTGATTTCTTGCAAATTATTGTTGTTGAGATAGATGTGCTTGAGGTCCTGCAGTGTAGCGAAAAGATCACCGGACATTTGCTTGAGAGCACAATGGCTGAGATCGATGACCTGTAGCCGTGAGAGCGGGCGAATGAGGGCTGCCGGCACGGGTGCCAAATGATGATTTCCGCTAAGATTGAGGTACTGCAAATTATCCAAGCCCTGAAATATGTTGCGTGGTACATCTGCAAGATTATTTCCGCTCAGGTCAAGACTGCGCAGTTCAGTCAAAGCGAGCGGCGCAGTGCCCAAGCCAGTTAAGCGATTCTGCGAAAGCTTCAGCTCGTTTAACGATTGATCCAAGCCCAGAAAGATGTCAGCGCTAATGACAGCTAGCGAATTGCCTGATAGATCTAGTGTACGTAGATTAGCGAATGTCTGAAAACTAGCCGAGGGCAGCTCGCGTATTACATTGCGCGCCAGTGTTAATGTGGTTATATCTTCCGCTTGAATAGAACCAAGAATCTCGGTAGAAAGTGCGGCTACGCGATTAAAGTCCAAATGCAAGGTGGTCAAGCTCGGTAGGCGACCCAGGGCGCTGCCGGGGACGAGTAAAATATTATTGTCGCGTATGATAAGGGTTTGCAGGTTATCCAGACCCTCCAGCGCATCATCCTCAATCTAAGGGAAGAGTTATAGAGTAGAATTTGAAAAAGTTGTGGTGGTAAATAATGTGGCAATCTACTTACAGTGCGCAGCGAATTCAAACTCAAGTCCAGATATTTGAGTGCGACCAAGTCGCGGAACGTGCCCGGCGGTATAGTAGTGATGCCGTTGCGACTCAAGTCAAACACTTCCAATGTCTTGATCACTTGCGTGTGCGTATAATCCAAGCGCTAAACATATACAAATGTATGTAACATGAAAAGAGATCAAAAAGATCAATCAAATAAACAAATTTGCACACCGAACACACCTGCAACATATTCGAGGACAGATTGAGTGACTTCAGATTACCGATGGCCGCCAGCGATGCAGTTGGAAACTGAGTTATGAAATTTTCGGAGAGATCTAGTTTTTGCAAGGTGGGCACACGCTCAAAAACGTCACTATTCAAATTGGTAATACGATTTCCGGCCAGTTTTATTTCGCGTATGGCGCGCAAGCCTTGAAAAGCCAGACCCTCGATTGTTTTTATTTCGTTGTAGCGTAAATCGACGATTTCAAGTTGCGGCTGCGCAATGAAAGCTTCGTAAAGAAGTGTAGCTGTTGTTTTGGTTTTTGTTTTGTCAGTAGCGATGGTGATGACGATGATGGTGGTGGTGGTCAGAATAGGAAGTTGGGTAAAGAAAAAAATAAAAATAAAATTATTAAGAAAAGTATAGTGCTTGTGCAGGTGTTCTATGGCGATTCGTAAATAACAGTTATAACGGCTTGTTTGAATGAACTCGTGTGCAAAAATACGAATGTATGTTTGTACATACTTTTGGTCTGTCGTACCGTTTGACGCGCGTTTTTTTAAAATCTTTTTACGGTACTTCGTAGGACTTTGAAATTCCGACAGCTGGTGCGTATGGTGGTAAATAGGTAATCGATTTCTGTCAAAGACAGCACGGAAAATCGAATATGTTGTCGCTTACGACCTTTTGGCGGTTAGGGCTCGATATGTTTGAAGAGAAATTATATTCGTCGATATATACAGGGTCACAACATTTTAATGCACTGACTATCTTAGTTTAGTGTACTACCGTGAGATTTGACAAAACAACAATAATTTTTATAAAATTTCTATCAACTTTCTTATTTTTTTATTTTTCTAAAGAAAACCTTGTCAGCTTGTCTTTTAAAATATATTATTTTAGAAATGGCAAGGTGAGTACAGTACTTGTTGCAAAATATGGCGTTGGACTTTCAATTTAATCCAAAAAGTCCTACAAGAGATTTTTCATATCACTGAGACCCACCACCAAAGCATTCCGTGCTTATTTGCTTTAACTTTTACCGCAGCTGATATTCCTTATTACGACTACATAAAAATATATTAACTGTGTCACAGTTTAAACTTACTGATATGATTGTAACGTAAGGAAAGATGTCGCAGGGCATTTGGTCCATTAAGTGAATTGGTTGGCACTTCAGAGAGACAGTTACGATCCACATAGAAATCCTGTAATTGGAGGGTAGAAGCAAGTTAGACGGGTAAGTTTTGTTGTGATAAAATTATAAGCAGGGACATAACAGTTATAGTTTTTATAGGAAAAACGTTGCTCCATAACAGTTATTAGATGAGAGTTATTTTTTATTTCGTGGATAAGAATTATAACCCAACGTTTATTTTTTACGTTATCTGATAAACGTTGTAAGATTGGGATATTGATGAAGATGGAGATGGAGAATAAGATAAAGATGATGAAATAAAAGTGAGAGAGTGAAATAACTACTATCAGATAACGTAAAAATAAACGTCGGGAAATAACCGTTATCGAGCAACGTAAAAAATAAACGTTGGCATATAACTCTTATCAGCAACGGNGAGAGTGAAATAACTACTATCAGATAACGTAAAAATAAACGTCGGGAAATAACCGTTATCGAGCAACGTAAAAAATAAACGTTGGCATATAACTCTTATCAGCAACGGAAAAAATATTTCTTATCTATTAACTGTTATGAAACAACGTTTTCGTTAAATTTCAGAATTCAGGCAACGTTTTCAATTTGTGAATTCGAGATAACAGTTATTTTTGGTCCCTGATTATAAGTTATTTTATAACTTAAAAAATTTCTTTACAATTTTACCTGCGCGTCAAAAATGCTCACTAACACCGCGAATTTCGCACATAAATTTCCAAACTACAACTTGTTAGTCAACTATGTATATAAATTATTGAAATGCATTGCTCTTCAGCTCACTCAGCCAAGGTGGCCATATTACGATTGTATGAACGCTCATGCATTTAAAAACGCTACTTAAAATGGCATCTGCATTTGCAATGCAACACAGTTGCTCATAGCAAATGTGTCAACTAATAAACTAACCAATCGACTTGTTATGATGGCACGTGCACTTACATACATACATACATACATACAATGGGTGAGTATTTACATTGGACATGTATGTAACTAGGTATACGAAGAGTTCACCAACTCTTGCCAAAACAATGTGACTGGAATGTGTAAGCGACTTTTTATTGCAATAAGTCGTATGCATGTTACGTAACTAAATTTGTAATGAATGCAAACATACTTATGCACATACATATGTACAGTATGTATGTTCATTCGTTAACTCACACTACTCAATCTATTGACAGTATATTGTAGTTATGTAATGTGTCGCTGGTTCACCCACCTTTAAGTCCGCACAGCCTTTGAGCAGCCCCTCTTCGATCGATTTAATTTTATTGCCAGATAAATCGAGTGTTTTCAGATTTTTCAATGGATGAAATTCAGCTGTAGAAAAGATCGGATTCAAGCTATCGCCAAGTAGATTATTCGCCAAACGTAATTCTGTGAGTGATTCTTTGAGACCAAGGAAAGATTTCTCTGGTATGCGGCGTATAAGATTATTCGATAGATCCAACTCCTCGATAGGTAGTTTTAGTGTGCCAAAGCTCTGTTGGATAAAAAGTGAAGCCATTGATTACAAAATATTGCATAAAAATAAGTAACTAAATAAGAATGTGATATTTAATTATTATGATATTGATCTACACATTATTTGATATAGTACCTCATTGATCATAGGACACATTATTAGGTTGAGAGATTTATTTGTATATATGTATATATTAAAAAGCTTAGCGCTGACGAAACTTTATAGATAATAGATGAGGCTAAATTTAAGCGATGGCCTGGCATATTTTGTGTTTTGGAGCATCCATCGATTACGGTTTATTGGCAGAGATCTTTGACTTCAGAAAACTGCAAGGTAAAAGTTTCACATGATCAAGTCGTACGATATTTGTAGCCAATTCACGTCACGTCGCGAAAGACAACCACACTCTGAAATCGTTCTTCCAGAATGTCCATTGTGGTGTCTACAAGTAGCGTCGTCCGGAATCAAATGTCGTTACACATATATGTATATCGCTCAATTTGATACAACAGAAATTAGTTATCATCGATATGTCACGCTGGCTTCAAGGACAAATGACGCCACCGGTAGAAATCCTCACCAAACAATACATTTTTATAGATGGTGATATGTACCTGATTGGTTACCGAATCGGTCGCTTCTAATTAGATCACCGCAAAATTGGTGTAACGGCAGGAACGAGCGACACGAAGTGAAGAAATGTACCTCTCTGCCTCGAAATGTTCCACCTCTCGAAATGTGAGATGGCAACTGCAAGACCACAGAAAAGACAATTGAGCCGTACCAAAACTGTCAGGACGAGCCTCAGCAGCCGTAGGAAAAAAAAAATAGTTTTAGGAGGGATACCGGCGCCATTCAATAAAGAGGAAACCGGGATGCAGAAAGAGACCAGTTTCGGCTAAACTCAGATGTGGCGAATATCTGCTCAGATTGGCGAGTCACACTGCTAACTAAAATAAAGCAGTATACAAAACTTTACTCGAACGTAAGCAGCTCACCCGAAGTACGGGAGCCTCTGTCGTACGAACTATATAACTAGTATTTGCCCAACCAATCCTGCGTATCCACACTCTGTCTGAACTGATCGTGTGAAAGTTTGATTTATTGTACAGTAATTTGTATGTCTGTCGTTATTTAGGCATCTATGTATAAGAACACCATTTTTGGCGGGTTCGTCAGCTCTTTCGTTTTGGCCATAGCTGGTCTTCCTATTGTCATCGTACAAGCTACAACGGACATTTAGTATGTAGGGCTTAATGGCTGCCGGACTGTCAATAAACTATACAAAACTACTATACCAAAGGAGGTGAACATCTAATCGAATAGCAATGCCTCATCTCAGTTTTTCAGTTGAGTCTAATTATTTGATAGTCAGACTTATATGGCACCAGGTCACTTTGTTGGAAATTTTCTTTACGTATGAGTTGGTGAAGAAAGGCACCCTCGAGTCAATTCCACGAGGGAAAGAAATAATTTCAGTGCCCTTACTTCCTTGCGGACTATTCTTTAACAGATGGACCTCAAGTGAGCTCTACGAACGCTGGGATAAAATCAGGACATGTGCAACTGCGTAGACAATAAATCAATTTTCTCAAAAATGGCTACGTACGACAGCAGTTTTTAAAGTTGAAGCAAAAATAGAAAGTGGTAAAAAAAAAATAAAATATCTACAACGGAAAATTGTATTGCTTAAAAGCTTTGTTTTAACTAAAATTTTTGAAAACATCTTAGTTCTTATCTATGCCATTACAAACCACGAATCTCAGTTTGGTTTAAAAATCTTTAGTTAAAAGATTTAAATGGAATACACCGCACGTAGTGCATAAATATTTATGAAGATATTTGAATAAGACGACATACTTCTCATTTTGGTGAGAGCTTTTGAGACGACTAACAACAATTGAAGTTAGAAAATTATGGTCACACGCCATGCTGCTGCGGCATAAAACAAGTTATAACTATACGTCATAATAACAAAAACAGCTACAATAATAATACTGACAACTCGAGTAACGCCCCCGATAGTTGAAATTTGTGCTGCAAAAAAGCTAATGACAAAAAAAAAAA